CATCCTCAGTTGTACACAGAATTTTAATGCTATCTTACCTGCACAGAGAACATGCTGATGTTCAACTGGGTTGTGAAAGTTCTTTGAAAACTAAGGAAGCCGCATACAAGCAGCAAGCAAGCAAACACTCAGGCATGCACACTCACGGATCTATTTTTGCATTTTTTTATTTCTGCATTTTTAAATTGAGCACATTTAGTTCAAACGGCCCCTTTTGTATGTGTACAGCCAAAAGACTACTTTGGGCATATTCTGGAGATGAAGATTTAAAAAAAAAAGGCATGGTGACACACACCTTCAATCCCAGCAGACAGAGGTAGGTGAATCTGAGTTTGAGGCTAGTCTGATCTGCACTGCAATTTTGGAACAGACAGGGCTACACAGTAAGAATCAGTCTCAAAAGTCAAAACAATAAAAAGCTCCACAGTGTATTAGGTGTTATGCTACTAGGTTGTGATTCTTTTCTATCAAAAGAAACAGAGTAAACTTTGGAAAGAACCACCTAAGGTCTGAGGTCTAAGCCACCTTATGTAGGCTGAAGATCTGAGTAGTTTCATGAATAAAAGTTACTTTGGGTGGGTGGGCGGGCTATGGGAGGAATGTACAGTGAAATGTAGGTGTGGGTTAAGGGACCAAGAAAAGACAAAATAGTGTTTTGGACAGAAGACACATGGAAGAGACTAAAAACTAAAAAGTGCTTGGGATGCTGCAGGGATAAACACAGTATTTGATTCTAAGAATGTGGGAAGGATTTGTAGGGCTGGGGCTGGAAAGGGGGGTAGGAACTCAATCTTGGCTGTATGCCATGGTAGGGGGTTGAATTTTGTCAGGAAGGTAGAGGGATGCTATTGACAGTATCACAGAACTAGAGTAATGTAATTACATAGGCCTGTTGCTACATTTTCTTATCCAGGATACTTTTTAAAGGACAAACCACACCTTTTCTCTTAAAAATTTTTCAACGGTTTCCTGCTGCACCTATTCATGCCCTACAAACACCTGTATAGTGAGGCTCCTGCCTAACATCACCGATTACTGCTGTCCTTCAGTTACCCCAATGACCACCTGAAGTATGTCCCGCTCTTTGAGGTCCTATGACCTTGACACTTGCTACTCCTATAGATGGTTTTCTTTCTGAACTTCAAAAATTGATCTCTTTTCAATTACGGCTTAATTCAAATACACACTCTTCTGAGTGCTCTCTAAAAGCGACCTTATTTTCTGATCACTCCTCACTACAAGAGATCACTGTTCTTTCTTCCGACTCTGAAACACATGTTCCACGAGAGGGGAAATTTATTTTTGTTGCTCTGTCCCCAGACTGGAAAACCACCCGTTCTGAGATGGACATTAAATCTTTGTTGAAATGTTAGCAATCTGGCTTTTTAAAAAGCTACTAAGAAGAATCTCCAGCGGATGAAAAGAAAAGAACCAATGAAGCCGACAAAAGAATGCGCCTTTCACAACCCAACAGCACCACCGGTCTGAGTCCCTTGCTTCGCTTCGCCACATTCCGGAGCCCGCCTTCCCCTCCGCCCTCCTCCGGCCCCGGTCCCACGGCCCGCAGTCGGGGGGCCGCTCTTACCGTCAGGTCGGAATTCAAACTCCAGGAACTCATGACCGAACTTGCCTTTGTGACCCACGTAGTAACGTAGGTAAAAGTCACTCTCCATGCCTCACAAGGGACAAGCACAACGGAACTTTAGGAACAGATGACACAGTCTGCGGACTGCCTCTTAAACTGGCGTAATGGTGGCGCGCGGAAATGACGTCTGCCACCGCGACATTAAGAGTTTTTCACTCTCCGGAGGCGGGAACAAGATTACCACGCCCCCTCGCCTTGACGCTAGGTCGGGTTCGCGGCGCTCCCTTCGTTGAAGGTCAAGAGTTCTGGAAGGTCTTGGGATCCGAGAACTGCATCTGGAGAGAGCTTGACCTAGGTTTCAGCCCAACACTGGGTGCTAGAGTCCAATCAGGCGCAACCTCAATTTAAAGAGACAAGTGAGTCGAATAAGGCTATTCACACTGAACCTAGATGGGTTTCTACAGTAAAATGGGGCAAAATGATTTGCCCATCTATGAGCACGCTGCCCTCTCCCCCTCTTTCACTCCTCAGTGTGTGGATCAGGATTTGGCTTTGAGGCGGGAGAATAGTGATGAATGTCTATGGTTTAGCGCTAAAGAGCTTAACGCAGAGAAGTCACAAGTTTGAGACTAGTGGTTGTATACTAAATCCCTGTCTCGAAAAACAAAGTTGGCTTTACTTAACTTTTAAGAAAACTGTTTTCAACGACTCCTTCCCCGTTCCACAATGTTGCCTGAAACTTGCCTAGACTTAGCCATCGCTTTCTGCTATTTATTTATTTTACGTAGAGGCAGGGTACTGCTACATGATCCAGACTGTCACCAGTCATGAACGAGTTGCCTTTCATTCTTTCCTGTCTTCCAAGCTAACTGATATCTAGGATAGGTGTTGTAGGTCAGATAGATGGATATTGGATTCCTACATCTTATTTAGCAGTGATTCTCAGCCCTGGCCACATACTGTTTCATTGAAGCCTCTAAAAAAAAAAATACCCAGGTCAGGACTGGGCATGGTGGCCAATACCTTTAATCCCAGCACTTCAGAGGCAGAGTAGAGTAGATCTCTGTAAGTTTAAGCGTAGACTGCTCTGTGCATAGTGAACTCCAGGACAGCCAGGACTACCAAGTTAGACACACAACATACACACACACACACACAAACTGAAACAAAATAACAAGGTGAGTCAAACGTGGGGACCACTACCAAAAAAAGAGGTTTATTTTCAAGAGCCAAAGTTGACCTCTGAAAGTTTTCTGGTTGTGGGAATTTTAAGGTTGAGAAGGTAAAATACAATAATTTCAGCCTGTCAGTGGTGGCGCACGCCTTTGATCCCAGCACTTGGGAGGCAGAGGCAGGTGGATTTCTGAGTTCGAAGCCAGCCTGGTCTACAGAGTGAGTTCAAGGACAGCCAGGGCTACACAGAGAAACCCTGTCTCCAAAAACCAAAACCAAACCAAACCAAACCAAACCAAACCCACAAAAACAAACTAACAAACAAAAACATTAAGTTCTAGTCATAGATTGACACACATCTTTACTAGAGAGTGTCTCACCACTCTCTGCCCTGCCACTGTTTGTTTCTTGTTCTCTGAGACAGAGTCTGACTGTGTAGCACTGGCTGTCCTGAAACTCATTATATTAGCCAGACTGGGCTTGAGTACAGATATCCACTTGCCTTTGCCTCCGGAATGCTGGTATTAAAGGCTTGTGCCACCACCATGCCACCACCATGCCCAGCTCCTACTGCACTTTAGAAAGATCACTTTGTCATGTAAGCTAGACTGGAAAATGGAAAGGCCAGAAGTGTAATACATGGAGATAGGTAGTTGTTAAAGTAATCCATGAAGGTAGTACTGTGATGATCACCCATGTGTAGGTGGTAACTATACAAATTGGAAAATGAGTGAATATGAAATGAAATGAAATAACTTAAAGTGTAGGTGTGATAGCTATTCCTGGTTGTCAACTTGACTATATCTGGAATGAACTACAATCCAGAATTGGAAGGTTCACCTATGATCCAGATCTTAAGGCTGGGAGATGGAAGTTTCTGACTGGGTCTTGGCATGGAGGTCTTGGGGCATAGTGGCTATGATCCCAGTAGACTAAGGCAAGATCATCTGTGAGATAAAGCAAGTCCCAGATCCAGGCGTGGTGGTACACACCTTTAATCTGGGCTACACCTTCTGCTGGAGACCTACATAAGGACATTGGAAGAAGGAAGATTCACTCTTCTTTGCCTGCTTGCCTTGTGGGACTGAGTGACTACTAGAACCTTGACATTGGACTATAAGTCATCATAACAAATTCCCTTACTACACAGAGATTACTCATAAGTTCTGTAACTCTAGAGAACCCTGACTAATACAGTCGGCAAAGGAGACTAAGCTGTGGCCAAAGCTGTACAGAGAAAGCCAGGAATATGGAGCCATAGAAGCCAAAATAAGAGAATTCCAAGAGTGGCCTGGTATAAAATACTGCTTCTAGGTCAAGAAAGAAAAGGACTGGAGGTGTCTACAGGAGGCCCGAGATGACCTAGTAAAAGTCACCTCAGTGGCATGAGAGTAAGTGGCAGCTCAGAAAGACTGGGATGCAAGTGAACTAAAACCATAATGGAAATATGGTGTTTTCTAACCCAGACAAGAGGTTACTTCCTGGAAGAGACACTGCCTCAACTGAGTTCTTAGTAAGTAGGAAGAAAATCTAGGCAGAGGGTGCTATACATTCTATTGTTCTATAGGACTACTAAAAAGACATTATGGCTTTGGGCTGTTACTTTACCCATTTCTTTGTCAAATAGGAGTGGATAATACTGAATATTTATTGCTAAAATTGAGATGTTTGTGCAAAACCTTTGTTATACACTAGGGGGTTAGCTGGTGAGAGCTTACACCTCCCCCCTAACCCCCACCAAATCACTACAAGGAAACAAAACAGATTTTAAAAAATGAATTTAATCTCTATATAGAAATAGTGCACTGATTTTACAAATGTCCACATTTGGATGATGTCAGTACAGCTAGTGAAATGGAGCACACTTCCTTCAGCCCCTCTGCCTCTGGGAGAAGCTGGATTGCCGAGTACAGGATCTAATGGAACCCAGAATGACATGACAAGAGCAGAAATGGTTAATGTGACCAAATAATTTTGCATGCCCTACTATTACACCAAATATGGTAATTTGGAGGGTGCAGTGAAAACAAGAAAATCCATTTGGATAGTGTGAGTTTGCAAACCAGTACCTTACCCATCACATTAACAGCTTGTAGAGAACAAAATGCTAATTTAAAAGCCTGTGGTTTGTACAGTCTTCTCTTGTAGTTTTTGCTTTAAAAAAAGTATCAAAACCTTGTCTTTAAATATATATATTTATATTTATACAGGTAGCTTTTTTAAAATTATCTTTTTACAACACGTGTTTGCAAATGCAATTCCTGCTGATTCTTAAGACTGTGCACATGGTGCCCGGCCTAAATGAAGCTTCCTTTAGTTAACTGAAAAAAGTTGAAGCCATAATTTCCTCCACCTTCTAAATTCTTCACATCCTAGAAACTCCCAAATACCCTAAAAATATAGTGTAAGGAAATTTTCATGCATTTGTGGGGAAGGAAATTACATAATTTGAAACTGCTGACTTACTGATGTTCGTGAAATGGTGACTGTGTGGCAGGACAGAAGCGTCTTTGTAGTGCTGGGAGATTAGAATTGTTTTCTCCTCCACTAAATAGCACCTGACTGTAGTGTAATTGGGGTATCCTCTCCAGATTCTGTATCTTTCTCATCTTGTTATCTTCCTCAGAGGTGAGAAAAATCTCAAAGGTGCTCGGGACAACATGGCATGCTTCTGTTAAAAATCCCACTGCCCTTCCATTAGCTTTCACGAACTGTATCTGGCTCAAATAAATAAAAAACCATCACTTTCCTGTGGCCACCGGAAAGCTTGAGGTGGAATAATGCCTGCAAAGTGCTGGCAATGAGTTTCCCATGATGCCTTGCACACAGGAACCTACCACAGAAATGTCTGCTTGCTTACATCAGACATTATTTTATAAAGTGCTTGTGTTGACCTTGTCTTTCCATCCAGTTTCACATCTTGCCAACCCTCCTTAAGTTTATTCCGGGTGTAATGAACTATGTTTTCCTTAAAGTCCTTCTGCCGATTCACTCCCCAGTCTTAGCCCAGCGTCTCTTCCCACAGAAGCAGCCTGAATACTACTTTTGAAGACGTGGCTTAAGGTCACTTCTGTGTAGACCTAATTTTCTCACCTCTTCAGGTAAAATAGCCCATCTTGATGTCCCTTGGGAGTAGTCTAAGTGAAATCTATGGGAAATCTTTTCTTTTTTCTTTTTGTATCCATATGTACTGCTGTGAGTTCTGAAAGGGTGAAAACCGTTGAATTGACCTGTGATGTTTGCAATGCCTGGCACACAGCAACTAGTGAATAGTTTCAGAGTATGTTGCGAAGACACGAGAATAACTGGAGGGCTCAACAGTGTTCACTGCCATCAGTTTAAATCCCACCTCATTCTTCTTACTCAGAGTCAGAAGCCGTCTCAGCCTGTCCCTCTCTGTGCACACACATACACACATTCTGAAGAGTAGACAAAGTTATAGTTTCCTGTTTCGGGAAGGTCATTTCTGTTAGTGCCTTCATCAATCCACTGGGCAGATAGCTGTGGGAAAGGAAGCAGGTCCGAGACCTTGTTCAGGCCACCCAGAATTGTCTTCTAGAGAAGGGAGGGGTTGGCTTCATTTTAATAGGTAGTTTGTTGAATTATCTGCCCTCTTGGTTTATCACTAAGCGTTCCTCCGGCCGTTATCGGATGTGGATACATAGGCAGAGGCAAAAGGCAACAGAATATCTGAATTACACCTCAGAATGAGGCGCAAACTTTCCAAGGATAGGAGGAAATGGGTCTGCCTCCTCAGAGTGCCTCTGCTCTCCAGCTGTCTCTGGATTTGCCCATCTGTTTACTGTAGGCTACTTTCAGCTGTAGCACATTTCAGGAAACACGGTATTTCTGATATGAATTTAATCATCTTTTGGAAACCCTAGATGGTATGTTTAAACCTTGTTGTGAAGGTTAGGATCTGACTAAAAGTTCAGAAACTATGCACTATCAAGGTTTCAGTTTCCTGAGGGGCAGATTAAAAGAAAGAAAGAAAAAAAAAAACTCTGCCTGTCTTGTGTTAATTTTGATGATTTACTTCCAACGTTTTTCTTCAGTCAAAATTGATTTTCCTTTCCATTCTTGGATGAATAGTGATAGGTGAGCTCCAGAGGAGTTGGCCACCTGTTCTTGAGACTGTTTGGAATGAGTCAGGGGTCAGCTGCATTTATTCAATGAATAATCTCAAGACCATCAACACATGCATACCAAAAAATGCATGATGGAGCCTGGAACACAGCCATGTTTGAAAGATTAGGAAACCATGAGTGACATAGAGCAAGCTCCTAGAACAGGATGACAGGCCCCCAAACGGTCTGCCTGGAAAGGCATCGAGCCGGTGAGCCATCAAGCTTTACTGGTGTGTAGGAACACGGAGACATGTCTCAAATGTCGAATTCCAGTTATGTCAACCTTAGACAGTAGACTGCCACCACCTAAGCCAAACACCCGTGTTATCCCTGGTCTCAGCTGGAGTGAACTGTAGAACAGCAGAGTCACGGAAAGACTACACTTTGGAAGAGAAAGCTAGTGGGGACTGAATTCCTTCTGGGACTATGGGATTATGTTTCCAATAGTGGATTCCACAGACAGAAAGTGGCATTTCTCCCACCCCACTCCCAAGGCTCAGAAACTGTAAAGGTGTTACATATGAAGAAAATTCTATACAAATACCCAGAGTTTTTCCTTTTATTTATAAAGCAGTGACACAAATCCTTGTGTGGACATATACCCAATACGCTATAATATCTGATTGGTATTTCCCCAAAATATAAATTTGGACATAGTCACCTTTTTGGACTTAGTCTTATCCATGTGAACATATGGTGGTAAGAAACATGTTTATTATTTTAAAATGTTCCCCTATGTAGGAAAAATGGTGGAAAGTGAGGGGATGAGAGATAGATGCAGCCAAACCTATTCCAAACTCTTTGTCCTCGTTCACATGACTCAGATGTTCAGAGCCTGAGCCAGTCCTTACAGTAAACTTGGGGACCCTAGAAACGCCTTCACTTGGCTCTAGAGCAGTGATTTTCAACCTTCCCAATGCTTCAAAATCTTTAATACAGTTCCTCATGTCGTACTGACCCCCCCAGCCATAAAATTACTTTTGTTTCTACTTCATAACTGTAATTTTGCTACTGTTATGAATCATAATGTAAATATCCATGTTTTCCGATGCCCTGAGGCGACCCCTGTGAAAGGGTCTTTTGACCCACAAAGGTTGAGAACAGCTAGCTACTCTAAAGGCTCAGCCTTCAGGAGAAGCTTCTGAGGTTGACCAGAGTCCTTGCTGAGAGCTGAATTTTGAAAGAAGGACTCTGCCATTTTGATCTCATGAGGGCTTGTAGCGCTGTGCAGTATCTGTACACTGATCAGAAAGCCTAGGTGGGCATCATGACAGCCACAGAGGAACCGAGAAGCTTTTTGCTGGCTCATCAGGGCCTCAGGAGTAACCAGAGGTGAAAAGATCTACCTTTCCAACCACATGTCTGCACAAACTGTGGCATCTGTTTTCTGAGCAAAGATTCTGAAGGTGTCTCTGAAAACTAGACACTCCTTGTGTCTTGTGGACAGTTTTAAAAGAACTGTTTTTATGTATTTGAACAATAGTCATAAGCGTGCCTCTCTACAGATTTTTTTCTCGCATACAAACACACACACATAGACACAGAGTCTGTGCAGTGGGCCAATCATACCAAAAATAAATACTCTCGCCTCTCTAAATTACTTATAGAGCTAACCTTACTTTTGAAATATGTTAATAAATAATCTAAGTGGGGAAGGGAGCTGACGTGTTCTTTCTTTTTATACTTATGTTGATGGATAGCCACAAAGCATAATTTTATTTACAAAAAAAACCCAAACTCCTCAAACATAAAAAAGCTCTCAAATCAAACATCCTCTGTAAATACTGTATTCAAATGATGAGTGAAGTTTGTACCATTGGCCCCGTTTGGTTATGTGCATCGCGTTAGTCACTCAGCAGTGTCTGTCCCATGAATTCTTCACGGGTAGTGCAACCAGTTAAAAAGTGTATAAAACATTATACATATAAAAACTTTCACATCCTTTGGATGTTTGCAGTTCATCATAACTTTGTGGTTACCTTTCCGCAACATAAATTTAAAAAAGTCACACATACTCACACACACTCACACAGACCCATATATAGAAATGGCTGGCATTCATCCAATCACACACCATCCAGAGAGAGTAGTGCATAGGACTGAACTCCATGAGGCACGAAGTGGGTGGGCCCATCCTCAGGGCAGTCCATCATCTTCAAGACTTAATGCCACTCGCTGGGGAAACAGACCAAAGAAATCGTCGTTAGATCTATAAGAGGCAATCTTTACTGAATGGCAACAAAAGCATCAGACGTACTATTTACAGACATTAGCACACATAATTCTCACTCCCAATGATAAGATTTATCTGACTTATTTTAGAGGTGAGAAAACTGAGGCTCAGTCATAGCACTCTGGATCACACAGCAAATGGCTGAACTCAAGTCTGCTCCCATGTCTGTGCAGGTCTACAAGTGTGTAGCTTTCCCCCACCATTCTGCTCTGTCCTTTCAGAAAGAAGAGTAGCAAAGACCTAACCTTGGTTCCTTATCGTAGTTTAAGTTGGATGAACTTAAAAAGGGTTAACTCTCAAATGTTAAATCCAGGGCTATTAGCCACCAGTTCCCGGATAACATCACAGTTAGGTGGGCACCATGCTGTGCCCCTCTTAACTGACAGAAGAGCACTGGAAAGCAATACAAATGCTACTGTTCGGTCCCTCTTTCCCCTATCCCTCACTTCCAGTTACTGAATGCTCAACTCTCTTCTGCCATAAATGGATAACCAATGGCTCTGATCCCTTAAGGGTTAAATTCTTTCCTATATTTGTGTGGTTTATATCTTCTCATGCTCCCTGGTCTGTATTAGTCTCAGAGTTCTGGACAGGAAAGCTCCAAACTTATTTTTGAATAAGCGACCCTTTTCTAGGATACACATCCAACATTCCTTAGCTCATTGAGAGTGACCCCTGACTGCTACTTTCCCCATTTCCTGCCACCTTCCTTGGATGGACCCAAGCTGCATTTACCCTCTCAGAGCTATGTGATCTGGGGGTAGCCTCACTGCGCTTTTCTAAGCCTTAGTTTCATCAGCTGTCAGTGAGGCTTGGATCTACTTCATAGGATAGGTGAGAAACCCAGTGAAAAGATGTATCTGGACTCCTGACATGCTACCTAGCAAGTATGGCATCTGGAGCAGTCTAGCCAAACCTAACCCGCATAAAATAAGCATTTTCCAGCTCTAGACTTGCTACATATGACAACAAAACAAAACAAAACAAAAAAAACCCTGTTGCCTTTCAAGTTAATTTTGAGTTATTTTTAATTTCTCCATGCATGTTTGGTCATGTTTTACCAACAGTGATATTGTCAAGCCACCCTTATTTTTGCCAAGCCTATCTAGGCCAAAGACAGGCCCAGTAATGATGGCAAAGTCACAGGAGAAAAGGACAGAAGAAGAAAGGAGGTTGAGAATTTTGATTTCCAGAGTTTGGAGGGCATGTACCCCATGTCAGAGTGGAAGGAACTCAGGCCTCTGTGCACTGCTTGGAGTTAATCTTGGTTCTGCCACTTTCTGCCTATGATCTCGGGGAAGTTATTAAAATCCTGTGGGTCTCAGTTTTCTCAACTGTAAATGAAACTAATGCTTTCTATCACCTCTGAAGGTAACTGTGAAGACTAAATGAGAAAGCCATGACACACAGAAAGCAGTGTCTGACACATAGTAGGTGCTTGCCAAATATCCCTTTGCCTACTCCATTTCTCTGCAGCTAGCAGGAGCTTATCACACAGGTATCCTGGCTGGCCTGCAGCTCGCTCTGTAGACCAGCCAACCTCTAACTCAGATCCACCTTATTAACCAGAGTAACTTCATTGCATCAATTCCTTCTCTGGAAATGATGAGTCCTTAGTCTAGACTGATTTGTAATTTATAAAATGATCTTAAACTTTATAACTGCAGGAAGCAGAGACTGGAGTTATCACTCTCATCTCACTAGTAAAGCAAAGGAGATAAGACAGCAGGGCAATGGGACAGTGGGACAGAGTCTCTCTCCAAGCTCTTGGCTTCCTGTACCATGCCTTCTCTGATCTCTAAAAATCTTGTTTGCCTGTGCTGGCCACAGTTACGGAGCCTCAGGACCATCTGCTGACCCTCACTACGCTGTCCAACTTTGGTTCATACAGCTCTCCTTTACAGTTTGCTTCAAATGCAGTTTGTCTGCCACGCATTCAGTAACATTATTTCACATGCCGTTTCCTCTGTCTAGGAAAGCCCATTCTTCCTCTGTCCCAATTTCAAGCCTTCGAAAATCAGAAAGCCTGCTAGGATTTGCTGTAGCTGCCTAGGTTTAAGGCCCTCACTCACCAGCCCCTCAGGCTCAGAGTGGGACTGCCCTACCTTGCACTTGACGACAGGCAGCTCGGAAAGAGGGTTCTTCGGGAGTTGGTGCAGCTGTGACCTTGGTTCTCCCGGCAAGACAAAAAGCTCCTTGAGGGCAGGGGCTGGGTCTTCCAGGTCTCTGGTCTCCCCAAGACAGGGCTCTGCCCACAGTGGGCGATCATAGCTGCTGATTGCCTGACAGGGGGATGGACTGGATGACCTCTGAGGTCATACTCAGCCCCCTGACTCTGCTGTGCAACAATGACACCTGTTCTAACCACTTCATAATCCTCACTCCCCAACAGGCCATGCCCTTTCATGCCTCTAAGCCTTTCCATAGGATTCTCTTTGGAATGTCACTTATATTCTTGAAAATTACTGAAAATTACTATTATTTATTTTTAAAGACACAGCTCATGTGTTACTGGGAGTCATTCTATGTGCTGGATCCCCAGACAAACCAGCAGCCCCGTTGCTTTGCTCCTACACCATCCACCCATTCAGCATTTGTTAAAGCCAGTTGTGCTATGCCACACCCAGGAAAACAGACTAACCACATCAGACTCTGCCCTCAGGGACCTCACAGTCCAGTGGCTCAACTGCTAAGCAAAAGGTATGAGGATTGTGGATGGAGAGGCCCAGGAAACTGTGGGAGAAGAAAGCAAGCCTAGGAAGGCTTCCTAGAAAGATAGATTCTTCAACTTCCACTCCATGACACTGAGCATCTCTGACACCCCAGCAGCAATTTGGGAAGCAATGCACTCTTCTATTAACTCTGAATACCTGATGTCTAATGTGGTGTTTGGCATTTAGCTGGCATTCAGAGCTTGTTGAAACTCAGCCAGTTACTCTTCTGCAGAAAGTCATTTGGCTTCTTAACTGCCAGGAAGACCCTGCAGGTAAAAGTTATCCTGATACTCTTCCCCTAGCACCTGCTTCAGTATGGCTGTGTTCTCCCAGAGCCAAAACAGTGCCTGATATGTGGGAGGTTCTTGATAAGGTAGAAGGAAGGAAGGAAGGAAGGAAGGAAGGAAGGAAGGAAGGAAGGAA